GGCAATAAGCTCCCAAGAGTTATTTGGGACAGTGTGTAAAAGGTATTTCCTTTTATGTGTTTGTGGCTGTTCAATTTAGCTGAACATGTTCTTGTTTTTGTAGTACAAGAACTGGTAAATAAGAGAGGCTGATTTAGGTGCAAAATAAAGAATGGTCTAAAACAGAGGCCGGCAACCTTTCAGAAGTGATGTACCAAGTCTTCATTTAGTCACTCTACTTTAAGGTTTCGCATGCCAGTAATACATTTTAACATTTTTAGAAGGTCTCTTTTAAGTCTATAATATATAACTAAACTATTGTTGTATGTAAAGTAAATAAGGTTTTTTAAATGTTTAAGAAGCTTCATTTAAAATTAAATTAAAATGCAGAGCCCCCCAGACCAGTGGCCAGGACCCGGGCAGTGAGAATGCCACTGAAAATCAGCTCGCGTGCCGCCTTTGGCACGCGTGCCATAGGTTGCCTACCCCTGGTCTAAAAGCTATCACATCCTTTCTTGTACCCCAACACTGCGCTAGCAGATCCCTATGCCCATGTGGTGCCTCGCTGAAGTCCCTTCTGGTCACCCTATCTCAAAGATATACCAGAAATAGATTGGGGCAGTTTAGTTTAGAGAGATGAGAAATGTGCAGATTCAGTTATTGAATTTAAAACAGCCAGCTCAGATTAATTTGAGAACACTACCAAAGCGTGCTTAGTTTTAGCATGTGAATTAAGTTGTGTCAGTGGTTTCTGTCTTCTCTCACGTCCCACCAACCCAGGCAATCCCATAGTGAGATTGGAGAGGTCAGATTTTGGCCAACTAATCCTGAATGACACAGGTAAGGCCAAACAAAGCTATTTGTAGATTCTACTATTTTCACAGAGTGATTTGCATTGGCTTCAGTATAGCTGCCCATGAACAGATAGCATCTTATTCCCTGCCTGGCCCAATTATCCTAGATGCCCCTTTAACTTATACTGTGGATGTTCTTTATGTGGACCCATTACTTAGAGCCTGTTCACACCACAGATGCTGCAGGTGTGCCTGTATAGTGCCATAATGTAGACACTTGCTACAGAGCCAGAAGTGTTTTTTCCATTGCTGTAGTTAATCCACCCCCTTGAGAGAAAGGAACTAGGAGGACCTAGCTGTGTCTATACTGGGGCTTTGGTCAGTTTAACTACATCTCTCAGGGTTGTTAATTTTTTTACACCTCTAGTTCAACCCAGCTATGTTGCTTAAATTTTTGGTGTAGACCAGCCCTTACTCTTGCACTGTTTACGACAGACACAGGACTATGCTTTTAATTATCAAAAACAGAATACCATGATGCTCCACAAAAGAAATCCAAGAAATCCATAGCACAAATAGCAGAAAGATTTGAAGTTCCTTTATTCACACAATGTGCTGAATAATGTTTAATGGAGCTCTGAGCTAATAGAAGGTACATGTAACTATAGCCATGCATCATAATTTTTCCCTATCAAGCACCTCACCTATTAGTAAAGAAAAATGTAAGCTGATTTACCTCTACCACGTTCAACAGTTTTTTCTACTTTGGGCATAGCTTTAGTGTAAAGATCCTGGGGAGAAAAAAAAAGATTAAATATACAATAGCAAAACAGAAGTAACTGTTGATTATAATAACCTGATGAAGAGCAACAACATTAGTTTTATACATTCCATGTCAATTCAGGCACAGCAGCCTTGTATGTTCTAGACTGTTAAATACGCTTGCAGGTCTTTTTATTCAGGATCAAAATCAGCAAACAAAATTAAGCATTGTTTTCTGCCAAAACTGAATGATCTAGCAGTCATCATAGAATATTCGGAAAACTAAAGGGACTTCTCTGGTACCTATGTGCAGTTCTGATTTTATCCGTGCTGCCAAGACCTCTTCCCTTCGGTCCCCTTCTCCCCTCACAGTTCTGTTTGCCTAGTTTCACACTTGACATTAAACACAGCAAAGAATATTTTCAACCATAAATTCTGAATGAAGATTGTGTCCACTGCCTCAAAAATGAATAGAAGACCAAATTTAGCACTGCTCCAAGATCCTGATGATAGAGCAGAAATTAAGGAATTATGCAGCTGCTCTCCTACCACACCATGCTCAGGTATCTTGGCATATCCATGCATTACAAAATAAATGAGTTATCACAGAAGAGGAAGGTCACATAGCTATACAATAACTCATTGCTAGTGATCCATGGAGAGACATTACTGATTTTGAACGCAGTTATTTTCTCTTTCACCAGACTAGATTATGACAAATTGGTATAACAGTATTCTTGGAGGATATGAGGGTTAAACACATACGCATGCCAATTTAATTAATGAAAAAGTGAATAAGTCCAGACGGTCAGTACTGGAGCTACTGATAGTTGTCCCAACTGCAGGAATAATTTTGAGACTTCTCCTGTAGTGGAAGCACTCAGCTCATGAAGCAAGAAGTCACAATGCTCTTATTCTTCAGCTATTGAGAAACTTAATCATACAAATGCACTGATGCCTGCCTTGACAGAAGAAGAACATCTTAATATTTACAGGGAGATACTGCACAAAACTACCTCCAGAGAAGTAAGCAAATCAATAGGTAACACACACATGCCTAGAGTTAAGATGTAGAGAACAATCTTGCAATACCACTTAAATAATTTTACACCCTAAATTTCAAGTACAGGGAAATGAAAGCACTAAATTAGTATACTGGGTAAGGGAACAATATCTTTAGGGCTCTCATTTATTTTCAGCAGTAACAACAACCAAAATCTACCAGGGAGAAAGAGTTCACACGGGGTAGATTTAAGCATAAATAAATCAGTTTACGGGAGTTGGTTATGCTATCAGCTGGTACAAAAGAGCAAGGTCTAAAGATTTTTATAGCATGTTAATAAAAGCCTGAACTTTTGTCATGCAGAGTATGATGCTCTCTGTTTTACAGCTTTAAATAGAAAAATTGTTTAAAAGGCTACTTTAACTAACAGTTAACAATTATCAAAGGCATAAAATGATATATGAATCTACTCAAAACTGGTTTTCATTTGTTTTCTGGATTAAAACAATTTTTAAATATCTGAAAGAGCCACCCCAAAATGCTACTTTCTGTAACACAATGGGAGAAAAGCTCTTCTTGAGATCGAAGTCTGAATCAAGTCCCTAAAATTGTGCACTTTCCTTGCCTACTGTGTCAACTATGTCTGTTAAAAACACCACAGTATGGTGATACTGCAGACAGGAAAGCTATCAGTCATGAATAAGTGTGTAATACATACAGCACCAGTGAGTCATACGATACAAATTATTACCATGTAAACAAAAATAAGACAGGGTAAGAGATTAACAGACCACAGAGCCTTACAGTACAGAGCAGTAAGTACTCTCAGTCAGTCCAACTGAATTTCCAGACAGGTCAGTCCTCTCTGAAGTTCCACTCCCAGCATGATGTTTACACTGGTTGTTCCAGGCAACCAATAGAACACAGGAATTTAAAGAGGTCAGACCCTGCATGTAAACAGCCATAAAAGCAGAAAGCCTTTCAGATCCCATTTAACATGGAAGCCCAGATACCACAGTAAAGGGTATGACACATCAGGGATTATGTCAGTGTCAAATTGGAAAATCCATTTTATTTTGAAAAGGCCATGTATTTCAACCTCCATTTTGATTGCCACCTTTAGCGTGGCATTGTTGGGCATCCATTTTGTAGCAGGGATTAGACAACTCAGTGGATAGACTGTCTAGCAAGCTGTGACAGAGCAATCAAGGACATTGGTTGTACCCTAGTGAAACAAAGATTAGCAACCAGCAGGCCAATGACTTTGAATGAGACTCTACCCAGGAGCCATGAAGGGGACAGCCACAGTTCAGAGCCTGGAAATTCCCCAGGAGAAGAGCAGGGGCAAGAAATGCGTCAGAGGTTGTTTTAAAAAAAGGAATGTTCTAAGCAAAGGAGGCCATTCCATTGTCATGTGCAGAACACTGGGCCAAGCATGAAGAGCTGTCTGGCCTAAGGATTGGACCGAATCCAGGGTTCAAAAATGTGGTGAGGTCAGGCTGAAGGGGACTGTGTTCAGGGGTTTGTCGTTTTCCCAAGAGCTGTAATTCTTGTGCTGTTTAAAAAGTAAAAGCATTTGTGACTAACAGATTGTTTCACTAAGCCTACGTTCATTGCATTACTGACAGTACCGTCCCTAGGTGTGTAAGTAGGCTACCAGACCTCCCACAGATTGGTGGCCTTGGAGGTGTGATATTATATGCTTAAAATTTGACCACGTAGATAATTTTTGCTACCACTGTTATATAATTGTAACAAATCTTGTACAAATTATGTCATGGGAGGTGTCAATGGAAAAGTTACGATTTGTTGAATGTGATTATCCTATTTGTACACATGTATTATTTTCATTTGCTTCTGGGTAACAACCAGGAGGTAGTTTACATCCGGTCTAGACAGCACATTGTGACTAGAATATTCAAGTTGATGGCCCATCAACAAACACAATGGGTATGGAAGAAGCTTATCCCCACCTGATGGATTTTCCTGTCGATATTTTAGTCAGAATATAGGCAATGGCTCCTGCTTTGATTCATCGAAGCATGCAAGGGCATGTGACCAGCTTTAAGAGCCTGAAGGGCCTCCTTTTTTATATTATGCATCCGAAGAAGTGGGCTGTAGCCCACGAAAGCTTATGCTCTAATAAATTTGTTAGTCTCTAAGGTGCCACAAGTACTCCTGTTCTTTTTGCGGATACAGACTAACACGGCTGCTACTCTGAAACCTTTTTTATATTGTTGTTCAATCCTTTAACTTTTATTGTATAGAACTGAATTGTATTTGAGAGAATAATAGAAAATCTAGGTTAAAATGATCTGTACAGAGGACCACAATACATTGCATATGTTATACAATTTCTATATTATACGATTTATTATGTACACTGCAGTATCTAACTTTCACCTTCCTTTTCCCTGCTAACAACCTACACAAAGATAAGGAAATTGAGGATTGATAGCAAC